GTTCTATAACCCTAAATTTGGTGGTCAAAATAGGCGAGCGTGTTCCAGATGTTTTTTACATCTTACCCCCGTTCGAGCCACACACGGCATTTAACTTCCGTGTAAATACACGGACCTCGCACAGATATATTTCTGGCTCGAACGCACCCTAAGAGGCATGAGGCTCCTGAGGGCCCTAGAGTGATTTTAAGGGCTGGGGCCGTGATAGAGCTTAAGTGGGGTGTGGAGGGGGAACATGTCGTGTCCTTCGTTTGGACCGACTTAAGTGCGTTTTTTAATTAGGCCTAGTTTTCTCACGTTCTGTTCATTAAGGGTAATCTGATTTTAACCAGTAAGTGTGTTTTCTTAGGCGTTTATGTTATCAATATTAATATATGACTAATCATACAAGTTGAATGGCAATACTCGTGTTGTGCGTATTTCTCTATATTTTTTATGTAGATGTTTATTCATTTATGATGTATTTTATGAATCATATTTCGGTGTAGACCCAGTCCTATGGTATTTTTTTGTAGATGCGCAAGGACCTTGGAAACAATTTTACTATATCGAACTTGAACTTGAACTTGAACTTAAAACTTTCCTTTAATACTGTCTAAACTTTAATAATTACTGATCGTAAAATTTGAACAAAACTGTTGAAATTTGCCTATTTTAATTATCTGTTCAATTTTGTTTTTAGGTCAGGAAAAGCTTATGAATGTCTACACTCAATGCCATAACGATGCACCAGCAAGCTTGATTCTAGAATATTATTGTAAAGCAGAATTTGGTAAGTATAGATTCACCAAGTAAAAGTATGTGTCGGCACCAGAAATTCCAGGGGTGCGCGCCAGAATTTGATCGACGGGTATCAGATTTCACCAAAAATTAGTGGGGGGGGGGGGACTGATGAGAGTGTAAGTGGGTGTGGTTGGGCGTCTTTCAAAACCCATCGGAAGTGATCCAGGGGCGAAACCCGGAAACTATGACTATGTAGGCGTTTCAAAGGCTTACTTAATCGATTTTAGACTCTACTTAACGTGTCAAAAATACATATAATCTCCCCCACACCCGACGAGAGGTTCAATTTCCTCGGCCGGGTTCATATACCTAGCCCTCTGTGTTTTGGAAAAAATTTACATCTTGACATGTTAAGAGGAATCTCGAAAAATTCCTAGACTGCAAAACTCAGACTGTAAATATGCCAGCAGTGCTCCCCGACTAAATTATTAATAGACTTCTTCCCCAACGGGGGTCCTGGATTTCCCGACGGGGCCCTGTTCCTCGCCTCCACTGTCAAATTGCTTTGGTGAAAACTGGCACGTTATAATTGCACAATATTTATAGACCTATTATTATTTCCGTTTTAAATAAATACGCATTATTTTTTATTTCATTTCAATAATTTACACCTACTTTAAAAAATAAAAAAATGCAATAGTTACACGTCAATGCATCGCTTAGGTCTATTTAGGAAGGAAATCGAGAATCATATTAAATTTACAATAATAAATAGCGTCTTGGTTACATCTGTAATAGAACTAGCCTATATTCTTTTCTCGTCTAGAATACGCCTTTTGTGACTTATTACTGCAATCCTTAATGCCTGCAATAATTTATTCAAAGAAAATAATGATCATTATTAATTGTATAAACTTTAGATGCTATCTGTTAAATTTAAATTTGAAAAAGAAAAATAATTTAAAAATTTTGAATTAAGGATTATAGTGAATAAAAATGCATTTTTTCATAAAAAATTAACGTGCTCATTTTGCAGTAACATACAAATTATTAACTTGAGCATAGAAAATATTGGATTTAAACATGTGTACCCTGATTTTTATTCTGGATAATGATAATAAAAATAATAAAACATTTTAAGAAATATTATTAGTTTTAATTTGAATTGTCTTAGCCATCCTGTTATACACATCTAGATGTGTATAAGAGACAGTATATATATAATAACGAACATAAACTCACGATAAAATTTGAAATAAAAGTAGGCATTATTCCGCCATCGAAAGTCACAGTTTAGTCAAGTTACATGGGAATACAGTATGTTTTGTATTTGAAGTATAAACATATATGAAGCAACAATAACAGGCCTAATGATAATGGAAATGATAGTGATAATAGGCCCAATAACAGCAGCAACAACAGCTCTGTATATCATATTGTATTATAAAATTTCAAAATTTCAAGCTACCTTCCGTATACTCGCCCTTCAGCTAAACGCGGGTAAAATGTTACACTCAAAGAATGATGATCAGCATGATTAAACTAACAATTAAGACCTACACCTGCAGTTATTCTAACCACCAACGGTTCTCGTCGATTTCCAAAGGGTATTTGCATACTTTATTGTCTATAAAGAAAGATCTTATTTGTTATCAAAATACTTTTTTTCACATTAGAGAATTACCGTAACGGTGTTTTCAACAATGCGATACCTTCGGTGAGCTTACAGCGTCATAAGGTTATAAAGGCCGATATGAACTACCGTGAGAGACTCTTCTTCGTATCTCGTTTAGTTATCAGACTTCGACCTAAGAAACCATGAGAGCCTCTTCGTATCTTGTTTGTTTGTCAAACTTAGATCTGGTTAATCGTGAGATACTTCTTTCTGTATCTCTTTTGGCGTTTTTTTTTCTCCAAAAAAATTTTGTCCCATGGTTTAGACATAATGTTTCTGCAAAACAACAATTGCGGCTTGGGAAATCGACATTACAGTATCCGACTTCCCTTGATAATGTAAAATTACGATAACAACGGTCCATGCAGATTATTTAAAGTGCTTATCAAAACGAAATCTCATTAGTAAGGCTAACGTAGGCCTACCTATCTGTTCATTCGTTTTTAAAAAGTTATATCACGTTACCGGTCCGTTCCTTATCCAGAGCACGAAATCAAAACTATTTCGAAAAAATGTCCATAATTCCATTACTCCATAAGTTAAAAAATACTGTAAATTAAGGAAGATGCAAGACAAAACCTTTTATAGATTTTTGCTGTAGGCCATACACTTGTTTAAAAAGGCAAATTTAGAAAGAAATGCTGTAGTTCTTTATTTGTGTTCTAATCGAAAGTGTTTATGTGTTAAAACAAGTACAATGAGTAATACGATTAGCATTAATTGCGTAGATACGTTATTATTCCAGACCTAAAACCACATAATAGACTTCCATGACAAAACTGCTCCTACTAATTTTACGAATCAACAACTTCTCAATTTATATTGGCCATAAATAAACCAACAAATTCTGGTCAATGCAGTAAGCAATTGGTGTATATTTTGCCAGTGTGTCTATTTAAGGAAATAACACTCGAAGCTGACAATGAGTTCTGTTTCATTGAAACCGAAGGATGGAGAGCCAGACCGGGAATGCCTGCAACGCTACGCTCTGAACTCACGTCGATGAGTAATCGTAAATCAGGCAAACAGTCGTGAACCCTCACATTTTAGTGTGGTATTACAAGGGTAGCGTGTACTCTACTCATTCCGTTTGTGAGACGATACGATATTTCAGTTGCGTTCGACATCAGGTCGTAAAATATCGAAACTCCACGAAATCTGCAGGGACGTACGGGTCGTAGACCGTTGGCACAGACCTGTTTTCTGGTGCGCTGTCCGCCGTGCGTCTTCAGGGCGTAAAATAAAGTGCAACAACAAGTGGACCAACCTCTCTCGATATCCCTTTTAAGTACATACACATGCACATACGTGATACCTTCCTAACAGACACACACGATGAATCAGTATACTGGATTATATACTTTGCAAGAGAAAAACTGGGTTTGAATCACTTGGGTTCATGCCTGAAACAAAATTAAAGCACATGATGTTTGCTAAAAAAAAAAAAAGGTTTGAGATAGTATTCCACATATCTCCATGATTCCACAAAAAGTATACGATGAACGTAGGCCTATACTTTTTACTATACTAAACCTATAGCTAGTGATAAAATGATAATGATACTTAAGGCTCAGTATAAACCTTACAGAAAATCTAATCCTATAGAAGTAAAAGCACGTTAGCCTTAAAGCCAGGCTCTGGCGAGAAAAAAAAAATGAATATGATGTACAATTAATTATTTTTCTAAGACACGAAAAGCATTGACGAAAAACTCGGGAGCGGCTAATGAGCTACAGATTTTTAGATATTTAAAAACCGGGGAAAACAGTCGTAACCACCCCTTTTCAACCTTTTCCCCCAGGTTTTAAATATTCTAAAATATATATCTCATTAACCGCTTCCTAGTTTTTTAATCAAATATGCTCTTTGTGTGTTAGAAAAATTGAAAGTCATATAGGCCTAATTATCCGCTCTTGTTGTACAGTCTATCATGCACTGACGATGGATGGGTGTTTGCACTGACCTCCGCGGCGTTTAACTAATTGATAATTGCCGGCATAATAATGTCTGACTTCTGTTCGGAGAACTTTACAGTTAATATTATTTTGATTTCCACTTTCGTATCATTTTACGTTTGTTTGAATAATTTGATTCGCTAATGGCGCTTCTTATAATTAATCTAAATTCAGATATATTTGTGTATTACAGATACAGGTTGACTACCCGGCTAATAGTGACTTGGGTATCTATTGTGTCCGTGGGGTCAGGGTTTCCTATCGCAAGGGTCTACTCACTTTTATTAATTCTTAAGGGAGTGCTAAACCCCGGTAAACCTGTCATAATTCGTCTTCATTTGAAATCCTGCATCGACTCAAGGATAAATGTATGCCAAGTAAATTAGAAATACTTGTTATTAAACGAAGTGTGTGATCGCTGGGATATTTGATATTAGGATTTATATATTGATAGTGAAGGATCAAAAGTATTAAAGCTATGATTAATTCTCAAGGGATTTCAGCAGATCTTCCTTTACCAAATGACAGAGACTTTCCACTTGACATAAAATGAAATTATATATAATCAATTCACATACATTACATACATGCTTATGCACACTAACATACACAAACATTTTTATACTTATATATTAATCAAAATTATAATATATATATATATATATATATATATATATAATAAAGTCGTTTCATATGTATTTGTACAATGATAACCCTAGAAATTCAAATTTATGAACTGAATAATTATTAATTAAAAACCTTATATTTCTTAAAAGAAAAACCTAACAGAAGATGAAATGGAGCTTTCTGTAATTGTCTACTGTGTTGCTATCTAATCTTGATATGTTCCCATGATATCTAATTATCAAAATATTTTTTTTTATACAGTGATCAGGGTCAAGATTGACAAAGTCAGGGACTCGACAGACGGCAAGAAATATATAGCAAACAAAAAGAAGCGAAAAATTTACAAGAAAGGGACACTCAAAAAGCGCGATCTGAATAGGTTAACATTTTGGGCAACAGAGACCGGCTTCTGCAACTGCGACATCATCACAAAAGGCAATGATTTTTACCTAGTGATGGGCAAAAAAGCAAAGGACAACAAACTTATCATGACGTTTGCCCACACATGGGTCACCACTAAAGATTTTCGATACGCTACCAGGCGCTTTAAGAAAACGGATTGTAGAAACTGAGCTTTTACCTAAACTTGAGAACCTTAAAGTGGATAATTATGTGGAACCTTACAGTACATTGGTGTTATGAACGAACTGTATATTTATATATCTAGAAACAAGTTTTGTCAAAGTTTTTTTTGTGTGATACGCCTGCGGTATTTTTTTTTTGTCCGTAGGCAGTATAAGCCTATATTAGTGAAATGCATTAGTTGGTGTGTTTTTCGCCAACCTATAGATAATTAACGTAACAAATATGACTTAGATGGGAAACAACTATTGAGGTGTTTTATAGCTGTATGTTTTGATAAATAAAAATAAGACATTTTGTCTGATGATCCATCCAATGACATTTCTGTAGCAATATGTCACTCAGTATTTTGTTTACGTAAATGATAAAATGTTTCGCTGACGTCAGTCATCATTATAGTCCGGCTATGGTGCAGTCATTAGTACAAATGTGGCTCATTCCAGCATTATTAGTAGGAATATAGCAAAGTACAAATGTTGCTTTGTACCATCAGTACGAATGTGGCCAGTTGCGATCGCCAGTACAATTATGGTATATTATTGTTTTTATATTATGAATGTTGGTATTGTTATTACTGTATTATTATTCATACTTTATAAATCACTGTCATTCTTACTAATATTCTTCTTGTAAAACAATTTCGAATTATGTTTCTATCCTCTAAAAAGAATGTCTGCGCCATTTAAACGTAGCATATTAGGCCATACTTTAAATGACATCAGTGGCCTAGAAAAGAATATACATTCGGCGTCTTTGCTAATTTGTTATAATAGATAACAGTACATAAAACAGTTTTAAAATACCGGTTCAATTCTCCTTGGTTTGGACATTTTCCAAAAAGGATGACTAAAAGTAAATCTTCTGTTATACAGTACAGTAGTTGGTTTGTATCCATCGACGAGGATATTGCAGGAATTATTCTCCAATGTATATAGGCCCCTGGCCATTAAACCTTACAATAAATTAAAAATGTAAACAAATCTTTTTATAGGTAGGCATAAATATTTCTTTTGTTATATGCAAAATAAACATAATTTGCCACTGCTTGAGTTAAACCAATTTTGTTAGATATTAATGAACAAAATTTATTAACGGATGGAAATATGTTACATAAAAATCATTTCCGAGTTTAGAATAAAATGAACATTGCAAAAATGAATCTTAAACTAATAAATTGCATAATTTATATGATTGATTCTGTTGTAGAAGTTATATTTGCTTTTCACTTTCAAGGTCTGAGTTATATTTTACGATTTTCAGCAATGCTTTGTGTTTTTATCATTTAAAGGATTTAAAGTGTTATATATGAAAAATGAAGTGTGCAACTTCAAGGAAAGCTTGTAACACAATTTTAAATGTTGACAATGATCAATTTATAAGCTCATTTGGGATATCCGAAGGAGGTAACCATAGGCTTACAGTTAGTCTAGCAAAGCCATGTATAATAAAGAACAGACGTCTATGTTTTGAACTACGTTTTAGCCTAAAACTACTGTAGAAAAATTCAACTACTTTACCAGCTAAATGTTTGATAGTTCTACAGAGTAACAACTGTACATTATGTTGGTCAGTTGGGTTATCTCCTAATTCACGATCGCTCGCATTTTTCTCACGTACACAACGGAAGAGCTGTTTGTAAAATATGTCTAATACATAATACACAGTAATGCACGTCATGTATTTTATCATACGATTTCACTCTGGCACCATATTTGGAGTGCTTGAGTATTTGTATTTGCAATTGTAATGTATAAATGCACTTATAGAAAATATTCTCTTGTGGAATTGAGTGTTTTACTCATGTCTTTTTTAAAGCACCATGTATATAATTATAAAGTATATACATGTATAATATATATTCAGTATAAGCGATTTATATAAGCACTCCTTCAGAGTTGTGTTTTCCAGAACAAGCTACCAAGCTGTACCAGTCAAGGAGTTCAACAGCCGGACCCAGCATATTTTTGGATGCTAGAAGCTAGGATGCGATCTGGCATCATGGAGGAACAAACGTTTTATTTGTTTATTATTTGTTTATTTTACGTCGCACCGTAAAATAAACAAATACTGTAGATAAATTATAACAGTGCTCAGATAAGAACATAAGTTATTATAATAGTATCAAGCATAGTCCTTTTTTCAGTAGAATGAAAAAAAAAAAAGAGTCTGTAGCGGGATTCGAACCTGCAGCCTCTCCATCAAGGCGAGTCTCATTAGACTTAATCTAATCCTCGTGCACTCTTCTTTTACAACTTAATACTCTCTCACAAAGCAACTTTTTTTAACAGTTGTTTTATGTTAATAACGTTGCAACTTGGCTTTCAAAACGTTTTTATTTTTTGTAGAATCATAAATACGTATTTCCAACAAAATGTCTGACAAAATAACGTTCCAAACTTGACTACAACTTTGTGTTGTAGTTATTTTCTATCAAAAACAACACCAACGTTCATAGCGTTCGAGAATGTTATACAGTAATAACGTTTCGTGTCTGCCAGGGTTAGGGTCGCATACAGGAAACGATTGTTATGTTCACAGGAACAAAGTTAGCGGTTGTGATGAATGTTTAATTGCATTGTACAGTTTTAGGAGAAGATAATGCAAGATGGGGTTGCCGGTGGATTGTTGGTAAACTCTACAAGACTTAAAAATAATAATATTTAATATAACTTGTAGTATTTGCTATGTGATCTATAAATATCTTTTTTCACTATTTGTATGATCAGAATACAGTATATGTAAAATGGGATAGCTCATATTATTATAATGGCCAACGACAAGGGTTACATTACAAGATTTGTTCAATGAAGTTTAACAAGAGAGGGCGACATACACGTCATCTTGATTTCCAGAGAAGAAACATTTTTACACAGCCACAACTGCGGCAGATAATTAATATTCATTAGTTGCCTCCGACACACTAAAATCCATAAAAAATCAACCACGATTACCAAGCGATCAACACACATTAAACATAAAATTGCCTACAAGAAAACACGAGCTTATATAACCTACACCTACCATGGAATTTCCAGTCCTTGGGTAAATTCCTCACTCGGAGGACATTTTTCATCCATGTTGGGAAGTTTTCTATCTCTGGGATTATTTCTCCATCATTGCAAAGTTCCAATTTTGTCATAACATTCCAGATCATGATTTGGAACGCCCCACCTACACTGTTGGCAAATGTTCCACCTCTCTACCAATGAATTACCAACCCTTCCTAAGGTTTATTTCTTTTTGGAGAATAATAAGCCCCTAGAAAGTGTTTGTGCATCACATGTTGCACCGGCCTTCTCTATATTTTAGGCAATAAAAGAAATTATCTTTGAATCTTGAATCTTAACGGTATTGATGTCAGGAAACCCCTTACTCCCAAATAAAGGCACTAGTTGGTGGTGGGTTAAATACTGTAGTCGGAAAACCGGTGTTTTTTGTTTGATTACTTAAGTTTTGGCATATTATTAGATGATTTGCAATGATTATACTTAAATAAATAACTACATTCTAAAATTTAGTATTGTTTCTATCCTTTTTCCTGGCCATAAAAATAGCAGATTTCTATACTTCTACAGTATTAACACTATTCAGTTTACATTGGCTGGCAAGTACAGATATATAAGTATAGATAGGACAGACCTAATCAAACAAAATTTGAAATTTTTAGTGGATGATCAGTAATGAAAATTTGGTATAAGGCCTGCCGATTGTATCAACCTAGGAAATACTGTTTACAATTAATTATAGGTCCCTCTACAATTAAAGACCACTTCTGGGACCCGGCGTCACCATGTTCTTTAGTAGCTTTGGTCTCTAATTAGAATAGTATAGATAAAAGACGATTGTGAATTTTGGGACCACAAAGTGGTCTTTAATTGGAGGTGGTCTTTAATTAGAGGGAGAACTGTATCACTGTTTTGATCACCATCAGTTCTTTGAATTTTACTATGCTTCAGAAATAACTCATCAACAATATTAAAAATTATGACTGTGTGAAAAGCTACCGTGTTCTGTCGATGAGTGAAAGCATATCGCACCTTTGATACTGTAGTATTTTTCATCCTATTGTACAGCGCCACTAAGGAGCGATCTAATTTTAGGAGGAGGGCGAACTAAGCGCAATAAAAAAAAATGTATTTATTATGGAAAACCCAAATACAAGTCCATTGTTAGTAGTTTGTCATCCTTCTGGACAGCGCCACCATTGAGCGAATTAAGTTGAAGAGGAAGGCGCACTGAGCACAGTAAAAATTAAAACTGTATATATATAGTAAAATATACTGTATTTCAAATCACTGGAATATCAAAATTATTAGGCTTGGAATGCAGGCTACAGTTCGATATGTACAGTACAGAGTGACCACTACAATACCTACATCATAAAGGTCAGGAACAAAAGACTCATTTGACGTAGGCCTAATATATTTTAATGAATACACAGAATGAGGAGTATCTTTGTCAAGTACACCAGTCGTAGACTTGCAGGATTTAAGAAATAGTAATCAGCATTAACATAACAGAGTACTGTAATAACAAATATTTTCAGTACATATTAAATTATTCATGACATCAGTTTTTACATATTTACATCATTATGACATCTTTACTAACTACTGCATAGCAATGATGCTAGTATGCATAACTAATACAGTATTTGATTATCTTAAAATCATTTGGAGACTATTCTGCATTATTGCATTTAGTAAAGCATTAATTTGGTCTGTGTGCAAGCTTTGTTTTTTTGGGGAAATGATGGCATAAAACCACGGTTCTCAACCTGGGGTCTATTGCTCCCTCGGGAGTCGACAGACACATACAGGTGGTCTGTACATACTCTAGGGTCAGCAAGGGGGTCATTGAAATATATAAGGGTCAGTAACACCAAAAGCGGTTTTGGCGATCAACTATGTTTTGTATAATTTTAATTAAGTGGCATACAACCATGGAACATTGCCAATATCGAATGGGGTGGGTGGTGGGGGGGGGGGGGTTATTTTGGGTAATTAGGGCCTCGTAAATGACAAAAGTAGCAGAAAGAAATAATGATACAGTATTAATTTTACATTTAATAATAATGGTATAAATATTAACATAATAACCTGATAAATTTCTGACATGATTATGTAGTTCATCAATCTACAGGTATTATCATACGAACCGGTAGTATTAATTCACTTCAAAGAGTTTTACCTGAAGCATTTTATATTTACATTTTTATAAGGTTTATGTTGGTTTTTGTCTAATATTTATTATACATATTTACATCTGTTTAATATTTTCGTGATACTTTGTGATCTGCATTATGCGACTTCATCAGGGGAAATTTATGATTGAATGGATTGAATTAATTGAATCAATCAATCAATCAATCAATCAGTGTCAGCCAATAAAACATAGGTCTATCGCTTCTTTGGCTCTCTGCTATCAATCTTTCCCATCAGTCTAGTGCGTTGATTTTGTTGAAGAAATTACCACTGCCCTCAACGTCGTTATTTTCTGAATTGCGACCTGTTAGAAATAGAAAAAAAGAAGCTGAGTAGGAAAGAGTAATACATTAAAGTAAAAGTTCATCACATTACGGAGGTAACCTCTGATGAAAACAATTGATCATCCCCATGCCTCCGGAACAGTGGTGGAACCAGTGAGGGTCGGGACCTTATAATTCCCCACCCCTCATCGGAGAAATGGGAAAAAAGTAAGGGTTTATAGTTCTCTAGGTATAATATGTTCTTTTACGTCTCAGAATAGCTTAAACTGGCCCACGATTGCACAGTTTCGGACCCGCACAAGGTCTTGGTCATGGACACTGCACCTGGCCTGAAATCATCAGTCTCCCTGTCGGACAGCGCGCCCCCATCCTAAACAGAGGGTCTGCGTCTCGAATACCAGACACTTATATTGCATTTCAATAAATTATATATTGAAGTTGAACAAAGAACCTTCATCACTAAAATTAAATCGAAAAAATAGGCTCCCAGCGGGAGCGTGTGTCTACCTTTTAATGTATTTTTTTTCTTTGACTACTTTTAACTCATAACTCATCCACGCTTTCTGTGTTAGCAATGCACATGAATAATTGAACAGATTGTTGACTTTTTAGTTTCTTTTAGGCATGGCATCATATTGTAGGCTTATTATATGGAGGACTGTTCATTTCTATCTTTAGACTATGAGGCATCGCATCATTCATGCAACCGGATTTACTATTACAACTTTCAGGATTGATTGAAAGTGTCTACCTGCCCGCCAGCTGGCAGCAAACACAAACAGATCGTTGACTTCTTACTGAATATACAATTATTGTAGGACAGTATTTCGATGTGACAATTATAATTGTAGTGTAATGAAACGTCATGAATGCGCCACCAACGCCAACTTTGTTGAGGAGTTCGGGGCGTATAGATCGAGATTCCAATACTTGATTGACTAAGGCCTACTGTTGACGATGCTGATGTAAATAGGATGATGATGAGGAATATGGTAATGATGATAAGTGTGCCAACGATGATCATGATGGTGTTGTATATAGGCTAATTCCTTACTGTTTATCTCATTCTCATTGAATGTAGATACACTCCCAGACGAGAACGAAAACAACCAATCATCAAATATCTCATTCGACGACGACGACGATTCCCTCTGTGTTATACCTTTGAACGAAATGTAATAACGTTGTTAAACTCAGGAACAAACCATTTATACTTATGGATAAATAGATGGATGGATGTTAATATGATGGATGGATGGATGGTGGGCTGGATGGATAAATGGATGGATGGATGGATATAAGTGGTCGGTTGGTTGGTTGGTTGGTTGGATAGGTGGATAAATACATGTTATGATGGATGGATGAATGGTTGGCTAGTTAGTTAGTTAGTTGTGGTTTTGGTTCTGGTTCTGGTGGGTAAAGCGACCTCCTAAGGACTCAAAAAGTGTGGGGTATAACAAGAGGGGTAGAAATAGAGGCGAATGAAAGTAAAATTCCACCACTGCAGTTTAAGACGCGCAGCGTCAGTCATGAGCAGGCTTGCCGTGCCGTACCGCCTCCCCACGCATTGGACCTGATAGGTAGTAAACATTGGTATAAGTGGGACGATATATGGTTAGATGGATAGCTGGATGGATGACCGAATGGATGGATGGACGAATAGGCCTACATGTATGTGTATGTATGTATGCATGATATTATGTATGGAAATGTACAGATGGAAAAATAGATGGATGGATGGGTGGGTGGATTGTAGTGTGATAGGCTAGAGATGATGGGTAGAGGTATGGATAGAAGAAGGGAGTGACGGTCATACGGACGGACAGTGGGCAGACAGTCAGATGATGATGACGATAACGATGACGACAATGATGACGGTGATGATGGTGGTGATGATGATTATGTATAATGATGACAACGTATAATGCATGCCAGCTAGTGAAAACTTCTGTAGTTTTAGTTGAGAACATCTCGACGTTTCGATTGAGTTGCTTCAAATGGTCATCATGAGATGATGATTAAAGCAACTCCTGATGACGATTGAAGCAACAATCGAAACGCCGAGACATTCTCAACTAAAACTACAGTTCTTTTCAGAATTATCTAAGTGGTGTACCACAAGCATTTATTGTATTATTACTTCGCCATGAAAACTTTAAAACAATATTGAAAACTGTAAATATTTACCATTGTCGAAGTCTGACATTTTGTCTGATTGTTGGTCCGATGAGAACGAGAAATCCCAGCCTTCCCACAATTCTGGATTCGCATCTTCTGGTCTCAAATAATCTAAAATCGACATGAACAAACGATACAAACACTTTATAAGACATTTTTGGAGATTCAATCGAAACTTGTTAATGTTAGTGAGTCGATTCACAAAATACATGGTAACGCCATTGTAGCCCTAATCCCTGGCGCAGTCTAGTGTTCGGTTTTCAGTTCAGTGTTGGCTTCAGAAATATGCCGACAAGGGGTCCAAGTCTTTTAGATCAATATTCGGGATTGGCAATCACTTTGTTTGGTTCGGAAAATTAGTATTTTAGTCTGACGCCCTCATTATGGCGTCGGACGACAAACGTCCAAGTTTGTCGTCAAAGGTTCAGTTTATTAAAATTGTGTAATATTTATAACGTATTTATAGCAAAGACTTAAATTACTAATTGTTTACGTACCTTTCGATACGTCGAAAACGTTGTATAATTCCTTGACTTCCTCTGATGAGCCAAATGAGAATTCCCAACTATCATCCCAGAGATCATCATGCAAATCTTCTAGTTTTATAAAATCTGTAAAAGATTTAGTTTTGTGAGTGTTCTTTTCCTTTATAATATAATCATCAACATCATCAATATCAGCATCACCTCCACAACCATCACCATCATAATCACATCATCATCATTATCATAATCATCGTCATCATCATCCCATCATCGTTATCATAATCATCAACATCATCGTCTTCATCGTCATCATCATATGATTACTATAATGATCTTTAAAAATTGTTGAAGTTTGAAACATTTTCCTTTTTATTATTATCAACATCATCATCATTATCATCACCATAATCATCATCATCATCAACATCTTGATGATTAATGATCTTTAAAAATGTTTGCAGTTTGAAAGGAACTGGACATTTCAACATTTCTTATACCTTAATAATAGCATTTTTGAATAGATGAAACTGAGTTGGGCGTGGGATGCTGATGTATCGTATTTCGGTATCAATCTATTGATTTCTATTTTTAACACACATATGAAATTACTATAAACTGTTTGAATTGTTATCATTAATTATATGGAACATACCTGCCGTCATATCAAAACCAAATGGTTTGCTACACGTTCCCTTTGGAATACTCAGCTTGCTGAAGGTAAATAACCCGGGCTGGCATATTAGATCGGGTGAACAACGTCCATATATATCGTTCAAGCCCCCGCATTCCTCGCCTTCTGTCTGTAAAAACAAGAACATCCTAAATAACAGACTTTCCTGTCATTTTTTTTCTCACTAACAAGAGTATAATTTGTTTTGTTTCAACACAATGTCCGTGACCGAACTTTGAACTATTTCATTTCATTTCAGTTCATCTATTTAGTCTAGTAGCACCATGACATTTTTCAATTGGGTCTAAATACATAAAGCCAGTCTCCGGAGGAAAAATTGATATGTTTTACAATTGATTTTGCTTAGACACAAAAAGAGTGTTTTATGAAAAACTCGGAAACGGTTAATGAGATACAGCCCGGTCATATTTTCACTACTTAGGAAACGGATTGTTTTTTCTCAAGGGGTGTTTAAAAACGATTTTTGGCAGGTATAACATTTTCTAAAAAACATATTCAATAGAAAGGGAGGGCGGCTTGGCCCAGCGATTTAAGTTCTGCTTCTGAACCTCGTTGTCGAAGTTTCGAACCCCACGCTGACCATTCTTATTTACCCCAGCTTGCACTATTTACGGGTTGTAAAGTGGCTCACGCTATGTTTCAGTCATAGGTGCAATAACTTCATGGCTTATGAATTAAAAAAATAAATATTGTGAGCACCTCTTATCAACATTGATGGTAACATCAATCCTGCTATACCGAGATAAAAAAAAAGAATCATGACAAGTGAACTAGTGAAAGCCACTCTGTATAAAATGAGAAACATCGACACGCCAATGTTACCTTTCCGCATACACGACAGCAACCTTTGCAAGGATTTTCCACAGGCAGTGAGCCTGGAGGGCACTTCAGTTTTGGGCATTTCTCAATTTTCTTCGAACATTTGCAGCTGGTAGCAAGGGTAGCTGACATCACACTGCAAGAAATAAAAAAAAAACAAATAAAACATGAAACATTTCCATTAATAACAGGTGAGTCATAGTTAGGTAAGGCGCCCTCTATTGAAGACAGTATCGAACTTCCAAAACTTTTAACTCTTCGACATGACAACACACCAACCAGAATTCGCTCCATCTTCTTATTGAGCTACATATATTTAAAGCTACAGAATACAGACTAACTAAGCATTTAAAGCCGGTCATGATGAAATGGGAAAATGAGAGGCGTATCTGTTGGACTTAATTTGGAAAACAGAAACCTTCTTTACAAGAGTAGACCTTGCCAACTGTGGTTCAAACTGTGGGTGTATTAGTTATTATTATTTCTTCGTACGTTTCGAATTCACAAGCATAATTATTTAGGCTGAGTAATAACAAAACAAAAAGCCTCCAGCCCTGTGGGCTTATTTTCTTTTTTATCGGAACTACTATGGGGTTCTTAGTTTGGTGTCGACGATTAAAACCCCGCAATAAAAGTTTTGAAAAATGCTAATAATATTCATGTCTAACTGCAATATAAACATCAAATATGAAATTTTAGTGAAAATAAGACTATTAAACACTACCCAATCTATAATATTGGTTTGATAATTCGAGCATCATATAGGCCTAACTAGCATACCTGTATCCGTCGTTATTTGACTTATGTATATAAAAGTTATTATTAATTTAAAGATTGTTTGAAAGTGTTTAGTATATATACTTAGCACATTGTACTAATAATCACAACCATATTTTAACTCGTAAACGTGAATGAACCGATTTATCCACCACAACAAGTGAAAATGGAACCTTGCAAAAGTAGGTGATGGTTAAACAGAGACAAGACGCTGTGAAGGCTCAATTATCCTGTTAATTGGCAATTACTGCAGTACATTGCTCCTGAGGTTACTAATACTGCAATCAAACATAAGCCTAGTTTCTATCTTGCAAATCTCTGCTTATTATTATTTATCTTTTCACTGACAATAACATAATTATAAAGATCGAACCACTAACTACAGGATACCTTAATATATCCTATTGACAATTATTATATACAGTATATAGTAAGGTATATTAATATAAATTATTTGCAATGCGTTGAGAACTAGCGTTGGTCCACGTATATGGGACATGTGCAAAATCAGTTACTTCTATTCGGGTTGGTGTGCCAGTTTCCAGCAGAAGTCCGGTTGGATTCCGGTTGTAAGTGACTTCATTTCTTTCACTTGCAGATTTCATTTCATTGCGTTCAACATTTATAATTTGAATTGGGTTTATAATTCTTGTACAGTTTGCAGCACTTATTATATTTCAATTCAATTCAATTCAAATTTATTTGAGCAAAATTCAACACATTACAAATAACAAAACAATGAACAATAAAAAGATAATTTAGTAAAACATTTACAGCTCAGGATAACCCAAAAAACCCGAATCGGTTTATTTCCGTTGGGATCCCTTAAATAAAAAATAATACATAAAAGTTGGTTAAAAACTAAAACAAACATTAATATTTATAACACCAAGCATATTTATATGTTAAAACTGTTTACTGATTGTTTGTCATTTCAGACTTTGTTGCTAAATATAATTTTATTCTTTTTTTGAACATATTTAAACTCGGTGAAGACTTGATCATATAGGGTAGTTTGTTCCACTCTTGTATAGCCGTAACATAAAATGTCTTACTGGTTATTTTATTTTACCTACTCATCCATGCAAGTAATCATCGCGTTAACACCATCTCCTGGTTTTTGGAAGTATTAACTTAAGTTTATAATGATCTTAAGAAATAACTGAATTCCTGGAACACTATTTGATTTCAACCGATCGAACAGAATGTCATTAACACAACTGAATTATGTTTCATTAGAATAATATTGTGCCATTGGTACAACGGTTACGATTACAGTGTAGCTTTTATGCTCACCAATTTCATCAGAAATGTCAGATATTGCAATAATTAGTAACTAAGCTTCCTGTTGTAAATTGGTAAACCAATATCAAAAGTCAATAGGAACAAGCAACTCATCCAAATACACGTCACTGACAACTTCACGACCAACACGTGTAGTTTTCTGAATTTACATTTTTTTTTTTAATTCAGCAATTATTGCGTAGGATATACACAAACTAATCATGTGTTATTAAATAATAATGATGATGATGATGATGATGATGAGGATAATAATAATAATAATAATAATAATAATAATAACAATAATTACTTTACTAAATCACATAAACGTTGCTTTAATAACGAAACACGACACATTGGAGACTTCTCATTATCAAGATAGAGCATGTAAAATTAAATTGGAAAATTAAAAAAAATACGGAATGCAAATAAGCAATCAAAATATTATTAGTTTAAGGCAAGTTTAAACAAACAATTCAACAATACAAACATTAGTCTTACCTTATCATTAAATGGACCTTTCCGAAGTGCTAATCAAACTTAACAACTGACCAATCAGAACAGTGCGCACGTCTTTACGTATGTTTTAACACTGTTGTTTTGTGGGACTTTTGCAATAATATCCAAGGGGAGGGGCTTAACGGAATGGTTCATTCACAAATCGCAATTCATGTGGTTTTTTTTTTTTTTTTTTTTTTTTTTTTTTAACAAAAGATTTTCAGATTTACTATAAATGGAAAAATGGAAAAAGGCACCTCTTTAGGGACTTGTGTGAAATCTATATTGTGCCTATATATAGTACACTTCCTCAGGGAAAGTCATTAATATATATTAATGGCCATGCGTGTTGGTTCGCCACCAAAAAAAAAGGGCGGTAGGCTTTTGCTTGAAATAGTACCGACGGGAGGATGATTTTTTTTTGGTCCTTAGACCTACTGCTTTCTCTTTCTTGATTATTTGTTATATGACTTTTAAACATCATAATGGTAGTATTATATATAGGCCTATATATTTAAATACAAATGGATAAATTATAATAACAGTGCTCAAATAGGAACAAGATGTTATAATCATATCAAACATAGCCCTTCAACAAATAGTTCCTTTAATTCAGTTGTATGAATAACAAAGTGTCTGGCGGGATTCGAAACCGTAACCTCTGGCTATCAAGCGAGTATCATACGCATTAGACCACAGAGATCTACAGGGTATACGCGCAGGTTTAACCGCCAGGCACTTTCCTTCTCACACCTGACTAAAAAGCTCACACACAGTGGAGCTATATTTATAAGCTAGAAAAGCTTATACCGGTAGGTCTTTAAAAATGTATAATTCATATATTTTTATTTACTTTTTTTCTCCTAATGTTTGGTATTATTTTTGTTCAGGTGGATAAATTAGTATAGGTTTACTTTCGCCTGATTTCCTCCACTTTCTTGCTTATTATTGTATATTTTATGTTGTGAGATGAATACACACACACACACACACATATATATATATATATAAATGTATATGTATATATATATATATGTATATATAGATATATATATATATATATATATATGCCTACATATACATTTTTTATTGGAACTTCGATGCACTTTTTGCACTAGATTGATGAATAGAAGACATAGTCTGGGACATGTATTATCGTTTAGTTTAGATTGTAGGCCAGACTGTCGAATGTACGTCATAAACCTGATGCAGATGGTAACTTTGTAATGAATTGAATTACCAAACATTATCCGGACAATAGAAGCCATTAAATCTGCGAATTACATTTCAACAACTTGTATGCGAACGATGATGAACGGAATACGATGCATTTTCATCGTTTTATTTCATGGTAATACTCGCTGGAGGAGACATCATCGCTGCTGGATAATATATCAAGATATGTCAGGTTTGTACGATCAGGTATTATTATAACTTACTTTCATCAAATCATAGGAATATGCTGAATGGTTCGAGCAGAAATGAAGAATAATTATTAATACAAATACAATAAAAAAAGAAATTTAAAAAATCCAGATATAATTATCATTACGACATTCCAGATTCAACATTTAATTTGCTACAAATCCACGCACGTGCTGTAATCCACTAAACACGTTCTCTTAATCTTGAAAGCTCTGATGAGGGCAGTATAATAGAGGCAGTAGAGTAGCCCTAACGACCGCCCATACAAAAATTATTAATCAATCAGCCTAGTTGTTTCTAGAGCTCCTCAAAGAGCTAAAAACTACAAAGGCTTACAAAAGATAAACTGTCACGTTAGATAGGCCTAAGGGACAATTTTATACATGATGCCTATCAAACACAAAAAAACCCATTATTATTAATATTTATTAATGTTAGTTTTGTTCACCAAATTGCAACATTATTTTTACGCAAATTGTTAGCTGGGTGGAAGTGGAATGCCTGAAGGGAAATGATAACTGCTGTACGAATAGAAAGAATTTTTTTTTGTCTTTGTTTCAATATTCTAGATTACTTGTTTGCAAAAAAATAGCTATTATTGTTATCGAGATAACGTGCATGCCTATTATAAATTGTTTTCATGTAACTGGTGACTTAAATCACGCTATTGAGGAAGTTTAATGACGTCATTTACGCGATAGCGGATACGCGATGTAGTCTTACGTCATTCATACCGGTATGTCATCGTGTCCCTGATAAACATCAATATGGTTTTGAAGTTGATGAAATTAACTCCGGTTCACTCAGAATCCGGGTTTAAAAAAATCGAATATTATGTTTAAATGATGATTAATATATGCAGAAGCCTATTTCTATCGAACTGATTTCTGCATTATAATTTGATTTTAACATTATAGTCAACTACTAAACGGCTTACATGCTAATAAGGTCACAGGAAGTAAAGTTAGCACGTTACTTGTTTTTTTTTCTACCATTGCAGCTGAAAACATAATATCTTTATTATCAGGTACTTGTCAAGCACAATTAATTTAAGCAAAACAGACCGTTCGATCCTAGGCTAATTTAAGATTGTTATGTCTTTTGTGATTTGTTTTTATCGGATATAATCAGAATGTTTATAGTTCGTTTATG